ATTTAAAATTTATGTTATTTTGTTTTAAACGGAATAAGTAGTAGTGTGGTAACACTAGAGCAGACTTGTCATTGGTAGGGCTGCTGATCATATTCAAATATTTATGACAAAATTCAAAAATATCAAAACAGATTTTTGAAAGATTTGTAATAAATTTCGATTTTCGATTTAAAATTACCAGAAAATGGACGCTTTCTTCTTTGTAAACTCCATTAAAACATCATGTACTAAGGATTTGTTGGTCTTGAATCAAATCCTGTATAACAAGCAGAAAATATCAATATGTCACTGGGAACTAGTTGCAACACTGTTTTTTAATCTTACGGTTTGTAATTGCGACCAAAAAACCTCTTCAGCGATTATATTGAAATTTAGAATGAACATTACCTAGACTTAACAGCTTTAATGACAGTGATACTGTCCTATCAAGAAAGAACATGTGTTCGGTACAAGTTTTAGAATAGCGGATTAACTTTGATTTAACACAAATGCGCAGGAGAAATAGTCATACAATGTAGCACTTAACCAGAAAGATAAAAAGAAAAGAACAGTAGGAACTTAAATCAATACACCCGACATTCAATTCAAATAATAACAAAATTTAAATTTCAATCGTCCTTTACTGTAAAAAAGGACTTGTTTGTAGAATAACTTGAAATTGGTGTGCAGCTCCCTTGTCGTTCTAAAATTGTCAGTTTTGACTAGCTATAGGATTCTATCATATGTTAGTCTCACATTTTATCTTCTCATCTGACACATCTGGACTAAATTGAACTTACCTGGAATGATGTTTAGTCAGATCTTTAAAACTAAGAATATGTCTTTTAATTTGATTATGCGGATTTTAAACTGTGATGCAACTCTTCAATTTGTATTACAAATTTTCACATTTGTTTTCTTCAGTTTCTTCATTTATTTCACAAAGTAACTTTGACCCAGAATTTTTTAAGGCTGGCAATTAAAACACATCTACACCAATTGTGTACAAAGGTTCCTTATTGCGTGGCATTCATGTCGTCAATTCTCATGAATCATGATGGTGTCCCTAAATTTTTTGACCGGACGACTCTAACTTTACCACATACAGAAATTGTATTTATTAATCTAAAATAATTTAAAAAGAATAAAGAATAAGACTTACATTTTGTATATTTTATATTCTGATGTATTTTATACGTTCAGATATTGATGATGTCCTATTGTTCAATAACTCACATTTTAGAGAGTACTTGCACCATATCCCAATTAGTTCGAGATTTACATAAAAATAAGGAGATGATGTATGATTGCCAATGATACAACTATCCACCAGAGTTCAAATGAAGTGGACTTGAGACTTGCACATCAAGAATGTGACGGGGGTAAACATGTTTGTGAGAGTTCAAACCTCCCCCAAACTGGGACAGTGGTGTAACGTAACAGCACAACATAAGAACAAACTACATGTATAAAGATCAGTTGCAATTGGCTTAACTCAAAAGATCTGTACTACTGAAACAAGATGGCCAGCTACATATCTTGATCATTTTCTTGAAATTAATATACTAGTAGATGCATTTGATATGGCTTAGACTATCAACGTATTTTATCGGAGTAACACGACGGGTGTCACACGTGGAACACGATCTGCTAACCATCAGAAGCACTATGCATGTAGCTTACTCAATTACATATATACAGGATTGCATTTGCTCAAATCTGCTCTCGTTATTTGCATGAAATATTTGCCATTGAACTTTAAGCAAGAAGCAATCCACCAATCAAACCTTCATTCCAAAATTATGTTTAAACAGCGATGACATATTGTGATAGTAAATAAATTGTCTTATCAATAAAATAGATAAATAACATGTGCTATGTAAATAAGTATTGCAGTATGTTATCATATTTAGAATGTTACATAAAAGGATATTTAGGATGTACATTGTGTAAAAATCGAGCGAATATGATGAAGTTATCACAGAAAACTTGTCTGAAGCTTTTAAATGCGTATTAGCTGCTTTGGTGTCACAACTGCATAAGCTGAAGATTTTTGTAGTTTACCGATAATTGTGTGATAAATCATGTGCAGTCACAACAGATGATGTCAGAAGCGCATGCATAAGTTCATGATGCAAGAGCTACGTAAGCAATACTGATTAATTGTCATAATGATTTTGATATAATTAGATGCACAAATCCTTTGCGTTGAGATATTTGTAAAACAAATCAGGTAACAGAGCGAGGAGGTTATTCATACGCGGTTTTTAATCTGAAACATATGTTTATATGTATTATGATTTGTACTGGTAATCATTTATTGAACGACATTATATAATATAGAAATTTAAAACAAAGACAAATCTGACTTGATTTGAATGAAAACAAAGGAATACATGATAAATATCCAGAGGACAATTAAATTACGTTATTCTATATTATAACATAACAAAAAATATAAGTATTATAATACTGTAGGTTCTGAACAGCAGATTCGAGTAGTCTTATCACAATGTAAGCTTTATATTGTCTGTTGCTGGTAGTTAGGGCCAGTTAGAATGTGAATGGTTTTTCAGATTATGTTCAAAAAAAATATCACGCAGAAAGGATTAGAACCAAAATCAGTAAACAAACATGCATTAATATATAGGGTACAAAAGTTCGTTTTAATTTGAGCATTTTCTTGAAACCATGGACACAAATGAAATTAAGTTAAAAAAAACATTATTTCTTCATATATTGTAAACAAACATACAAACATTATGCTTTGTCGTTTTTTTTCAGTGCTGCTTTTACACCCTATCAATACTTTAGTTCTGGCATTTATCATGGTCATACTGTTTTGACTATAAGAAATCTCTTTACACCTAATCCGCTTGGATGTGCTAATACTGATGATTCTGTTTACGTCCTTTGGTCATTAGCTGTCCAATTTAAAAACATACCCTATCATATCTTTATGTTTATTTTAGAGACAATTCAATTGTAAATAAAAGATACATGAATACATGTTTTTTTAACTAAGAGCTTATTTTATTACAAAAAAGGGAGCAAGGGATAGTTGAATGATAGGAAATGGCCTTTCTTATGTAGTACATTCACGCCATTGTCCCAGGTCAGGTGAGGGTTGATCACGCTCAGAAACATGCTTAATCCCGCCAATTCTATGGGTGCCTGTGCCAAGATAAAAGCTTGTAATTCAGCGCTTTTCGTTCGTTGATGTCTGTCATACTTGTTTTTCGTTTATTGTTTTGTCACAATTCAGTCCATTGGTTTGTTCGGTTGAATTGGTTTACATTTTGTCATATCGGGCATTTAATAGCTGACTATAAGGCATGGTTTTGCTCGTTAAAGGCCGTACGGTGATCGATGGTTAATTAAATCCATGTCATTTGAATATGACAGTAGTGTTGCATTCGTTCCGTTGGTTGATATAGTCAAACGTTTGATTTTGTCAGGTTTTAAGGAGATTTTCCCTTTTTGAAAAATAAAGTAAAATAACAAAAATACTGTACTCCAAGGAAAATTCAAAACGGACAACGGAAAGTCCTTTATCAAATGGCAACATCAAAAGTTCAAACACATAAAATAATTTAAAACAACTGTCACATTTCTGACTTGGTACAGGTATTTCCTTATGTAGAATTTACCCTGGAGTTCGGTATTTTTGTTAATACTTTTTTGGACTCTGGTGGATAGTTGTTTCATTAAAATCACAGCTCTTTATTCAATATAGATTTTAAATCAGTGTAAGGAAACACTTTAACCTGTACTCATTTAGCAAAATCTTTTCACCAATATACAATTGAATATTTGGAAAATAAAATTTTTCTATTTTGTTTTTGTTTTTCGACATCACAAATCAACCTTAACAAATCTATAAAAGGAATCCTGTATGCCTCGAGATCGTATGAGTTGAGAGTCGGCGGTAACAGTTACTTTTTATTATGTTTTATTTTTACCTATGACGACACTCAAACGATTTACTGCAAGTTCAAGTTATCCTACCGTGATTCAATATCATGTCATCGAGGTCAGCAGAAATTTTAAAACTGGTACTTTTACTATGGGTCATCAGAACACATGTGATAAACAATATTCATCTGCTCGCGCAAGAATTGACATGGTCAGGACCCTGTAGTTCAGTGGTTGTCGTTGGTTCATGTCTGTCATATTTGTTTTGTTATAAATAAGGTCGTTAGTTTTCTCAAATAAATTGTTTCATATTTTTCATGCCTTTTACAGCCGACTATACGGTATGGAATTTTTTCATTGTTGAAGGCCGTATAGTTGCCTATAACTGCTTACATTGACTTCATTTGAACTTTGGTGGATAGTTGTCTCATTGGCAATCATACCACATCTCCTTATTTTTATATGGACTTAAGGGATGTTTAAACAGTTTTACATTGTATTGTCATTTTTATGATTTGGAGATACAAACTATGCGTTGTATGGCGAGAGATTATCACAAAGTCTCATTATAATCGGGGTACGAGGCTTGAATTCGATGGTATCGAGACCAGCGTTCTTGGTTAAAAGTTTTGTTTAAATGGCTTTTTGATCGAGTTAAGCCATTTCAATTGATATTTTAAAGTGTGTCTTTTTATGTTGTACTGTTACACTACTGTCTCAGGGGTGAAGGTTGGTGCCTGTTAAAACGTTTAAACCCGCTACATTTTTATGCTCCTGTTCTAAGTCAGGAGCCTGTTGTTCAGTAGTTGTCGTTTGTTGGTGTGTTCATAGGTGTTTCTCGTTTCCCGTTTTTTATATAGATTAGACCGTTGGTTTTCCTGTTTGAATTGTTTTACACTGGTCATTTTGGGGCCCTTTATAGCTTGCTGTTCGGTTTGAGCCAAGGCTCCGTTTTGAAGGCCGTACTATGACCTGTAATTGTTAACTTTTTATACATTGTGACTTGGATGGAGAGTTGTCTCATTGGTACTCATACCACATCTTCTTATTTATATTTATGCTGGGCTGTTGAATAAAGTCAGAAATAAATATTTAAGCTTCTATAACTTTATTTTTGTGCAACGATTTACATTCGCCAATGTGTTTATTAATAAACCGCTAGACAATTCAAGTACATTGTTATTTTACGCTTACTAATACATTTAATAAAAGATTATTTTATTGGTTTTACTTTTGAATTCTATAACCTGTAAAGCACTGTACATTCTTGTAAATCGTTGTCTACCTGAAACTAATTCGGAATTTAGGTAGCATGTTTCAAAATGACAAAGTTATTTCCCACTAACCTTCTACAGAGTGTCAACAACTTTCATATCAGAACTTAACTAATATGTTTATTGTATAATAGGATCTCGTTCTGAATATGTATGAACGGTTTGCTACTGAACGTTAAGCAAACAATAATAAAACAAAATATCAATCAACTTAATATTATAAATGTTTTAATTTAGCATTGTTTAAAATCCTAAGTTGTATTTTTTAAATCTATCAATGCCTTCTCGTGACAATTTTACAGTATGTCACCGTTCGGTACATTATAACAACAATAAAAGCTAAACCTACATTTACAGATGAACAAATGTCAGAAATGGTCTGCAATAATCTGAATAAATTTAGCTATTAAGGTAGATGGGGTGTCTAAATTATAATCCATAGAATTTTTTAATAATTTGCCAAAATGTAGTTTATATCATGCTTTTAAAAAAAAAATAAAAAGAATGGGTAACGGGGCTTATTTTCACGCTACAGGTTGTGCAAAATTGACAGATTTTGTATAGATTATGCATGGAAAACCCAATTTTCTGCCATAAAACGAAAACTACACCATAGGATTTTGAGATAAAATATGAGAAGATAGCTCTAATAGTATGCTTTCAAATAAGAAAAAGAAAAATGGGGTCACGGGACCCGTTTTCTTGCTACATAATAAAATAAGTAAATTCCTAACACATTCTATCGTAAAAGTAACTTTATCTGAATTATCTGCCCTTACATTTGAGTTGCCTCCCCTTATGTGGCAAAGTTGGAAAAAATAGAATCAAACAAAAGTATTCTGTTTTTCTGTAAAATACAACCATAAATATGATAAAATATGTCATTTTCTCTATTGAAATGAAAATTCTTACACATGAATTACCTACTACTCTCAAAATTTGCACCTTTTACTAAAGATCTAGACCGATTGTTTTCTTGTATTTCAAAATCCAAGATGGAGGAAGACACCCTATCTACCTTAAAAGCATTTTCAACATATGAATTTTGACCAACTCGCATTGCCTTTATGGTGTTGACAAAGATTTACATATTGACCCTGTATGTGTTTAACTAACAATGAAACGATCTTACAATCACTGGTCAAAGAGTGTTCGTAACAATTTTGTCAATCAACTTTCGGAATATGAACTTTATAAATAACGAACGACTGTTGCATCTAAACCATCAGTTAAGATAGACATATCACTGTTTAATAGCACTAAATGAAATTTGGAACACCAAATATTAGCAATAATTCACACAGAATTAGATCCTGACTGCGACCCCGAATGTCCATTTCTAGTGCTCAATGTCATTGTCATCGTATGCTCCTCCTGAAGAGAGTTCGTTCTTCTAGTTTTCTTGCAACAACATGTAGCAAATATTTTATAAAATCCTCTTCGAAATGTTTTATTCATCCAGACATATACAAACGGGTTGTAACAGGCATGGCTCATCGCAAGCCAAAATGAGGTATTCCATATCAATTTTGTGTATTCCTGCTCGTAAAGCCTAGGATCATAGTCTCCAACTAATGTTACAATATGAATCGGTAGCCAACACATTCCGTAAACAAGAACCACAATTATCATCATCTTTACCATCTGTAATTACAAATATTCATATACATTATAAAGTCATCATGATTCTCAAATTACCATATCTGTATACCTAGAGTACATGTTACTCATTAAAGTTTAAATTACTAATAGCTTAGACAGTTGATATAATCTTCAGCATATGAAACTTATTTATATCTCTGAAAACAGAGTAATGTTTAATTTAACTTGACATGAGCCATTATTTTGATCTTGAAATTAGAAATCAAGTAAAATGCTTTCAAGTCTTGCAAAATATGTTAATTTTATTGATAAATAAATATAAGATCATAATATATTCTGAACACTTTTGTGCAGACATTTCACTATGGTGTCATTAACTTGTTAAAATGGACATATTTCATTTTAAATTACCATTATACTCATTGTTGTTGGCAATATAAGATATGAACTAAGGGGCCTTACCCAAAAAGATAGTTTACCAACATAAAAGTCGTTTTATAAGACATCTTGTAACGAAAACTAATCAAAGATACCAGGCTGATAATTTGATACATATATTATTTGTGTGGGTTAGGCTTTGGTTCACATCTAAATATTAATACAGGTTCTAAATATCAAGCTATCTTGCCATTTTTTGCAATTTTGCATCAAATATAAGAAGTTTGAATCCATATAGATGAATTTCTGAAGGATGTTGTTCGATAAATTTCGTTTAAAATGTGTCCCTATCATATGTCCGTCTCCTTTGAGGAGAAGAAAGCGATAAAAAATTCAAACAGGACAACACTATAAAGTATAAAAAAAAGTGTTTAAGCCCGAACCGAGACACATATCATCAATTAAAAACTTCAAATTCCGATCATCATTTATATTAAAATTTTACACCATGATATTGGTGATGCATTGACCACTGTGTCTGTATTGAACTTTTTCAGGCACGTAAGAGATCAAATGTGTTAGTTTACAAGGTCAATTAAAGTGTAAAAATCGATGAAGAAATTTATCACTTATACATGTATATTCTGTTATGAAGCTCTGGTTGTAGATATTACGCAACTTCGTATCCATGAATAGTACTGATTAAGGTTTATTATAAATGATAAATGTACAAATATTTAGTGGCACAATAAATGTTTACGTAATTTATTGATGAAATTATTTTTACAGGAAGCTCATCCATGTTCTGAATTGATAAGAGTATTATGACACAGTATCAGAATCATGTGTGTCTTCAATTGTCATGAACATATAAACCACATATATATTTTAAGAAAAACTGTGACAGTCATTTGATTTTCAAAGAATACTACATACTCCATCTGTCAAATCATTGTAACTGTAGACTCCGTGGAATAATTGTTATTTTAAACCAGGATGTTTTCTTTAAAATTATCTAATTATCTTAGCTAATAACTTGAAAGATCTGATAGACGATCACATATCAATAAAAAAGAAAATATAAATGTTCTCGGCCGTCTACAAATCTTTTATCTTGAGTTAAGAAATTCATTGTCACTTGCTTACAAATCGATTATGAGGACACAACCAGAATTACATGTTTACTTGTTTTTTACATAATGACAACGCATCAATTTGAGGCAAGTTAGTTTACCGATGTTTAATATTCATAAATAAGAAGATACAAAAACAAAGAAACAAGCAGAAACCTGAGTGAAAATCAAAAGAAACGACATCGGGTGCATCAATAGGGTAGGCCTCTCCTGCAATGGATGCATCATTCGATATGCGAATCCACACATTAAAGTCATAATGTCGCAGTAGTGAATAGGACACAATCGCTAATTTTACAGATCAGACTATTCTGGTATGTAAAGGTCTAATACCGCGAAAACATGTCGCTAGTTAGATGAGACACTAACACATCGATCGTATTGGTCAACCAATTCGTGATGGTGACCATAAAACTTATGTAGTGTCGACTTTAGTCATTCTTCCACATAACTCTGTTGGGGAAATTTTTAGTTGAGAAGCACACCCATGTTATCGAAATCCGTCTAGTGTCATTCTGCACGGATGTAACGTATTAATTAAGATATGTAACCGCTTAACAATGGGGGAGAGGGTATATTACTGCTGAGAAATTTGCAATTGATCATTGGAAAATTGAAATCATCACTTTTGTTATGTATTTTAATTAAAAATCGTCCATCTGTACCAGTATCGTGAAAATATCAAGATATGAAGAAGACCTTCTAGTGTTAGTAGAATCTGTAATTTCAAGTGCACTGTAATGTGGGTTAGTGAGCGACATGACATCATCAATATATCTGAAAGTGAAGTTGAGAACTTTGCAAGAGGCTTTTTTCTTTTTGTCTCTGAGAAGGATTTGCATGAATTCTGATTCATACGAGTACAAATACAAGTTGGCCAGAAGGGGTGCACAATTAGTACGCATTGGAATACCGACTGTCAATACCACCAAACGCAACAAATATTTTGTCGATCAAAAAGTCCTACATTTTAATGATAGCACCTTTGGTGTATCTTTCGTCGGAAATCGGTGCGGTTCTAGATCTTCACAGCGTAAGATTTTCCAAGGCCGTTTACAAGAAATTTGCATCCATTATCCACATTTTTATAGAAAAATCTCAGTTTAATGAGATTATGCAGTCGAGCTTTCATGTGAGGAATAGGAATAGTAGTGTAAAGCGTAGAAAAAACAAAAGTTTTGATATAATCGCAAAATTGTAAAGGTCGTGGTTGACATGGTCTTCTACGAGTTATTCAACTTAAGCAAAAGATCACCCTAGTCACTTCCGATTACGTTATAACATCACTGAATTTATAATTGAGTACTTCAGAAGCGCTTTGCCGCTTATTAGTGGCGCTCAAATCAAAACAATTTAACCGCAAGTGAAATAATCTTATTTCCTTATTAAAAGGTTTATTACAAGATGTTGTATTTGTCGGCTGATAGTTTCAATTTTGTCACGTTTATCAAAAAAGTTCAATTATCCAGCATAACAGTTGGACGGCAAACGATTTAATGGCTTCTAAGGTCAAGACATTGGTCACGTGACAAAAGGTCAGAGTTTACGGTTTTTGGGTAAACGTGCATGCCTCGTGGTTTTTTTACTCGTATCGTCTTATTTGTACTCGTATATTAATAAAAATCAAAGTGTTCAAATCTTGAGTGAATCAGCTTCATTATTAATTATAATTATTACTAAAAAGTGTTGTTAAAGTATTTTAAATTGACGAGTAAAGTGAAACTTTTTTTCTGAAAATTTGCGAAGGTCCAGGGAAAATCCCTAATTATTCCTTAAATAGATATGGTAACGTGTTGAGGGGTATAAAATATGAAGCAAAACCATTTTTTACATTAGATTTTAATTATAATCGATCCTAAATTTACTGGACACGAAATTGTGTCAGCTTATTCGTGGCGACGTGGAGATCAAAGGGAGATAACTCCGTACACGCATCGTAGGAAATTGCAAGTTCACAACAGTAAATGCGAGTAAAATTAATGATTGTATTTCGACACTTTCTTGAATAACTATTCCATATTTTATGTTCCTTTACTCTTGTAACATTAAAATAGTCATGAAATGGTTAAATATGGCATTTATTTAAGTAATTACAGGTTTTTGAAAACTTCCAAAGAAGACAATTATAGATAACTGACTTTTCTCTAAAACTTGGGACTTATAAATTGCTATACATTGTATATTCTCAAACACCCTTTTGATAGATGTAATGATACAAGTCTTTGTTTTACTTTCTTTGTATCAATATTCCTAGAAAGCATATGAAAATAAACTCAGTGTAAGTACATATAGGTTGTTTATAGAACATTTTTTAAATATAAATTTCACTCCGAAATTAGACTTCAATTAATTTAATTTAATTTATATATATAAAAATAGTATCTAAAATAGAAAGTTTTTTCTCTGGTGCACCGAAAATGTTGCATCAGAAATGAGATTTAACAAAGTTATTTAGACTTAAGAACTTATAGATTCTTTGTCACTTTGTATGCTGATCATATGGGAAAAAAGAGTGATATTATACATTCTAACACAGCATCAATTGTGAAACAATAGTTCTCTCCTCTAGAAATTTTAGTTTTCAAGATGCGAGGCTTGCCGATCAATATACATTTTTAAGATTTCACTGTTAAGAGTGGAGAATTGATATTTTTAAACAATACATTTATGTTACCAACTATTTTTGTTTTTCAACTATGATCTGCAAAGAGATGGGTTCTTTCTATGTGACATCAATGATCGTCAGGCATGATTATTGGTAGCCTTTTTTCCTGGTGTAACAATGGCAAATTCTGAGAAAAGCAAGAACCTTTCAGCAGATCCAGGTCGTTTATAAAGAGAGATTATTTCATATAACAGAAAAAATATATTTGATTTCATGCCAAAAAAATATATACAAGAGGGGTTCATCAGCAGAAATCGTGTTACAATAGAATTTAACTTTGCATTACATTAAAATACAAAATGAAAAAAAAGAAAATGTAGACAATACATGCTTCAAAATTGTGAACATTGACATTGAATGAAAAAAAAGACAATTTGCAGTGGGAAACTTATAATTTTTTTTATTATACCTGCTTTAAGATAAGAAACTATATAAGATGTACAAGTTATGTTGCTCGCTCTGAATCAAGAGACAAAATCTGAACATCCAAAAAGCCAGAAATGGATTTAAAACATTATAATCAACACAAAGAAAACTGAACAAAAAGCTGTATTGCAATATTATATCATGCAGTTCACATTATTCCTTTTATTACATGTATTACAAGTTTTTGAATTTTTTTTTTTCTTAAATTTGAATTCAAAAGTCCTACAATTAACTGTTGAGTCCTTTAATTAAATTATTGATTGAATAATGAATGATTAGTTCAGCTGATCAGTAAATAAAGTCTGAAAATGCTTGTTTTAAATAAAAGAGTGTTATTATGTCATAAAATATACTGAATCAACTTCAAATTTAATCCAAATTTATATTTAACTGCTTTAAAATGCATAGACAATTAAAATACAAAACAAAAACCTGAGACTACTATAACACAGAGATTGGTCACAGACAAAAACAAAGCAGACTTAAATACAGTATATTCAGAATTTTTTTGAAGATTGGACAAAAATGAGATATTTATTATTCTGATATCAGAAAAAAATCTTCATAGTATCAAATCAGAATGAGAGTTCCTATTATTGCGATAATCAATTAAATCGCATTATTTACTTTAATAAAAACCTCATGATAATTTCAGAATTTACGGTACTTATCTTGTCGACCTCTGCGCTTAAGAATTTCAGTTTCCTAGACCTAAATGTGGTTGAAATACTGACAATTTTGCTAACTTTTACCAAAAACCTCTTTTTTATGACATAACTGGATTATAATTATTTCAGAAAAAGCTGCATACAGTTATATATGTATCACATATCAGAAAGCTTGTTTGTATTATTGCAATAAGTTATTATTCAATTAATCAAAAAAAACATCAACTACTTTTAAATTGATAGTTTATTTTTTATAGCCCAAAATATATCAGTACATACATTTGTTTTTTATACATCTATATACTATCATTAGGGAACTTATTTAAATGATTTTTTTGCACAAGACAGTCATGGCAGTTCACAATTACAGGGGTCATTATAAACATAGTGACACCATTTATACAACCAAATTTTATTGTTGATATATATAAACTGAAATCATTGCAGATTTATTTTTCAAAGGATTTAATGTTTGTTAGTCATTTACTTCAAATAATTAACCTGTACTAAGATAAAGAGATGTGGTATGATTGCCAATGAGATAACAGTCTGAAAACTATCCACCAGAGTCCAAATAATGTGTCTGTTAACAGTTATAAGTCACTTTACAGACATCAACAATGAATAAAAACTTTGATTGCTTTCAGGCAGCATAGGAAAAAGAGGAATTGTAGCTTTTTGGCTTTATACAAGAAAATATAAGAAATATAATAATATAAATAAGAAAATAAGAGAAACAAAAAAGACAAGACTTAGCCACTGGACTATATATAAAGTGCTCCCTTACTAATCCTTAGAGGAGCTGCTGTATACTTAGAAAAGAAAGATGTTGGTGACTTATCCACAGCGAACAGCATTTTGAGACTTAGGAACAAAAGAGTAGATGCGGAGACACTACATTTTGGCCAATCTGCCCTATTTGCTCCAACCTATTAAAATTAATGCCTAGGGTGGGAATTAAACCCATGTATGTACATATACTCTATTGTTCTCTATGTACATTTATGAAAAAATATCAAATGCAAAAAAATGCTGTAATGTAAATATGGTAATTTACATCATTACAGCCTCAATCTTTTATAAGGACCTAGTATAGGAAGTCCCTGGACCTAGCTAGACCTATTTCTTAAGCAAGGTGTATTATATAACTCTTGAAAGCATTAAAATGCAATTGTAAAATTAATTATATCTACGGTTAAACAATAATAACACAATAGTGGTCATTTCTTGAGTATTCAGTAACAATAACGTGCAATTTAAGTAAACAAACATCAATGAACGACCACGTGTTTATCTGCTGTGCTTGAATTTAAAACGACCCATCAACTTTATTTGCACGATTTTTTGCTAAAGCAGACAGTTTAACATGCTTGTTTATATTATAAGTTTTATAAAAAATGTATTTGTTGTTATGACTTGTGTATGCATGGAAATATAATGAAGATAACATTGATTTTTACTGTAAACAATTTAATACACAACATTCCAGAGGTATACAAACACAAAACACATTCCACTTTTGTAACAATGGATGGAACGTATAGCCACTAACATATCAGTAAATGCCATTGGATAAGCTACCCTACACAATAAATAATTTGCATATTCATGATCGGACACAAGATTGTGTGTCAGCTATTGTTTTGATGGAAAAATGTAAATATTGGAATCCGCCATTTTGACGTAGGAAACAAACTAATTTTCAATCTTGGATTAAAGGACATTGCGCACATTGCTAGCGTATCATGCATAACCAGTCATGTGAAAATATATCTTTTAATTTGTTTTCTACACTTACTATTCTATTTTTTAGTTAATTTAATGTTTTAATTTCCTACAGAAAGGAACATCGTTCTCAAAGACGAAGTAGAAAAAAATATAGGTGGCGCTGTTTGTGGGCGTAAACATTGTACATACGGGTAGTTTTTGTGTCGACGATTGACCTTTATCTGTCAGATTCAGGCGTTTGCCGTTCAACTGATAAGGATACCGTGGTGCACGAAAAAACATATAGAACTGTGTTTGCTCGGATCATTCTTTTTTAGTTGAAGAAAATTTGTTTGGCCTTTTTCATTTTTTTTTATTAATCAATTAAATGTACAAACTCTATCCATGCAGACATGATTATTTTTAAACGCCCTTGTTGGTGTCTTGTTACTGCCTTACTGGAATATTGTAAATTAAGGATTAGAAATTAAAAAAAAAAACATACAAAAAAGAGAAAATGGTTATGAACTCATTACCTTTCTCTTCGAATTCGCCAATCGTTCATCTCTCATCGGAACAGCTTCACCCGGAGTTTTTTTTATCCATATAATGTAACCTATTCTACTGTAGGTACAAGCTAGGGCCATTAATGGAATAAAATACTGAAGCAGCAAGATAACCAGACTATATACAGATCTGTTCATATCTCCTGTAAAAACCTCAATACACTGGCCTTTAGGACATTGATCTGTGTCGTTAGAATATAAAATTTTAGATGTTATGGCAGTCGGTAAAGGCACAGCGGCAGACATAATCCATACACATATCAGTACTAATACCACACCTTTATTGGTTATTTTTGGTCTAAGCGGATGTAAAATAGCTATGTATCTGTCAATACTCATCGCTAGCATTGTAAAAGCACTCGAAAATACAGCTACAACTTGAATATAAGTTCCTAGTGGGCATGTGAATGATCCGAACGGCCAATAATGAAATATCAGATTTGCCATGATTGTTATGGGCAACATTAATGCTTTGATTATATCGCTAAAGGCAAGATTTAAAAGAAATAAATTGGTAACACTGCGCATTCTGTGATCGTTAATTATAAGGTAGCACACAACGCCGTTTCCAAATATAGCCACAATTAGAACAACACTGTACATAATGAGTAGAAAGCTCTCCCAAGGACCGATCTCAGATATACAAACATCGTCTATATCAATTACAGGATAAGATTTGTCTGTGCTGTTCTCCATGGTGTGATGTTCTGTCGTTACAGTACTTTTATCCTGAAGAAATATAAATAATTTACAGTTAGTATGAAATAAATATATGATGGATATGATGAAGTACATTTCTTTTTACGTGCATAATTTACATGTAACAAGGAAGAGTTGTCATTTAATTGCAATCTGTTGTCAGGTAATATGCATATTTGGCCTTTCAGTATTAAGTAAACAAATGAAAAAAAAATAACCTCATGTAGATATATGTTTTAAAAAAACCAAACATTTAAATAATAGACATGTAAATATGTCAATGTATTATTATGGCATAACAAAGTACTTGTCCCTGTAGACAAGACTGCAATAACCGTATATTAAAGTTTCCCCTGTAGACAAGCTTACGATAACCGTACATTAAAGTTTTCCCCGTAGACAACGCACAATAAACGTATATTAAAGCTTCCCCTGAAGACAAGCGTACAATAACCGTATATTAAAGTTTTCCCTGTAGACAAGCGTGCAATAAACGTATATTAAAGTTTCCCCTAAAAACAAGCGTACAATAACCGTATATTAAAGTTTTCCCCGTAGACAACGTACAATAAACGCATATTAAAGTTTCCCTGTAGACAAGCGTACAATAACCGTATATTAAAGATTTACCTGTAGACAAGCGTACAATAAACGCATATTAAAGTTTCCCCTTAAGACAAGCGTACAATAACCGTACATGTGTATTAAATTTTCCCTGTAGACAAGCTTACAATAACCGTATATTAAAGTTTTTCCTGTACCTGTAGACAATTGTACAATAACCGTATACTCAAATATTGCGATCGTTGTTTCTTTAACCATTTTTTCCGAGTATCATTTGAAATGTTTTGCAACATCATTTAAGTTTTATCCTCTCTTCAGCGTTTGTATTAGCTATTGCAATTTCAAATTCTTTGGCCTCGAGCATCACTGTAGCGACATTCATTGTTGAAATGCGAAAATTGGTTCCGTTAATGGTATTACAACTACAAGATTTCTTCTCATACAATATTTAGTACACTCACCAGACCACGCAGTACATACAATATTCCTTAATATTTGTGCATACACTTCTGTTTTAGTGATATATTTACGTGTATATATTAGTTGAGTGAATTTGAGTCACAATTCATATCTGCAAATAAATCACGTGCTTACATATAAATGTACATGGAAATTTTCATAAAAATCATCGACACACGGTTTATTTTTCTAAAACATATAATCTGAAGAGTCACGAAATTGTGTTCATTTCATTTTCATCATGCAGGATTAAAACAGGATAAACGCTGTTCTGATACTATCACTTTATGTATGTAGTATGTAATTTTCATTACGTAGTTGACTTAAGTACGACACTTGTATCAGAAGTGAGTATATATACAGAGAAGAGCAAGTACACACGAGTCCTAATATACTCTCACATCCGAACGTAACCGACCGCATGTCGATGTGCCAGTTTCAAGTCAGGGGTCTCAGTATAGGTTGCCGTTTATAAATCATATAGCGTTTATCTACTTCGAGAAATGGTGTTGATGGGAGGTCTTTTTGTTAGTCACTTCTACTTTTATTCACACCTCGGGTGATTTAGAGATTGACAAATGGTATAGAAACTATTCTATTATTAAGATATTGAACCACTAATTTGATCCCGATCCGAAAGAAGTTAGTACATATTTCAATTAAATGAGTTCCTACGCATAGCAGTAACTTTTAAAATATTTAAACTATTTTGGTTATTTTTGGTATCAAATGAAACCTGTATGACTGGGGGTTGTTGTAGAACCCTTGTTGAGTGATTATATTAAATAATAAAAAAGCGTATGAAATTGATACAGAAGGGTATATTCTACCAGTTTCTCAGAAATGAAGTACCGGTTTTTGTACTTCCGAACTTCTTGGAACCAATGCAATTAAATGTATGTTGATTTTTCCAACAAGAGTAACCAGAGGGTATTGTTTTGATAAGGGATTACAGTCATTTTTGTTGCTCTTGCATAAGAGCTCTGAATGCTTGAAATTGAAGAATATAACAAAAAGCAATGGGGTTATTAATAAGTGGTTTTATTTCTATTACGTACCGGATTTTCACTTTAATGAGACTTTATAATTGCATTGCATTGTTGGATTTCTGTCCCATATTCGTGATTATCAAAAAAGGATGCATTTCTTCTGTTGTCTTATTTGATTACATGTTTTGTTTTTAAATTTTACAGTATAGGTTCTATGTACAAAATCAGCCAATATCCATGATGGAACCTCCTGCCGCAAAAACGGTATTAAAATAATTTAGCCAACGGTATTAACAATATAAATAGGTTAAAGGAGACAATTAAACACTTCTTAGAAATTCAGCTCTTAAAAGTAATTAATTTAATAAAATATTTTAAACCAAAAAGTGGGACAGAAATAACAACAGCAATGTACATCACTAATTTAAAAGTTCACTTCGTCATAGAAGACTTGTTTGGCCTTGCTACGTGTTATTGCCTATTATTTTATACTAGTCATTTTGGGGCCCTTTATAGCTTGCTGTTCGGTGTTAGCCAAGGCTCCGTGTTTTGATGCCACTATTTGTTGACCTATAATTGTTTACTTTTTACACATTGTGACTTGGATGGAGAGTTGTCTCATTGGCACTCATACCACATCTTCTTATTTCTTATTTGTTAGAAATATCAAATAAACCAGGATGGTTGATAAATGTTCTTTAACAACTCTAATTGTGGAAATGATTCAGCTTTGTGACTGACCAAAACACAGAAGGAAAACATGGTCTCTGGCTTAGACTAATGTTAATATCATAAGCCTAATGTTGAGTTTCAGAAATTCTTTGAATTCTGCATAGATTGAAGTATATGATTATACTGATCATTTGAGATTCAAGATTGCCTTCATGATTTTTTTATTCAGACATGAATGTAGTTTCACATTAAAGTCAAAACGTCTCAAAAAAATGGAGACATTACAATGTCACAACTTGTCAAATTAATGAATTATCCAAAGATAAATATCTTACTTCAGTTCCTTGTATAAATATATACCACTGTTGTTCAAATATCTAAAAAAAAAAGTCCCTTTGAAATGAATCTGCAACGAATATTTCATATTCTTATTCCTGTCATCAAATCGCTGTTTGTTGTCGATATTGGAATGACAAACTTGAAACACAGATTAAAAGATCTTGGAAATATATTTCCGGTTGCAAAAAATAAGATAAAATCAGGCATTCTACATCAATTGTATTTACTAATTCTTGTACATATTCCATTAAACTGTCACGAACTCCATTTAAAATAAATGAATACTAGTAATCTATACTGTACATGTCTAGTCAAAATGTCTAAACAATAATACATGTAGATTAAACGACTAAAGTCCTGCGAAGACAATCTTGTCGGGAAATGCCGTCTGAAGTAAAATATGTTAAAATTAAATTTTGTAAATATAAATATTGAGTCTCTGAGATAACTTGCAGGAATAGGAATAAAAATAAACAAAAACAGGAAAAATTCGCCCGGTTGCCCAATTTTGCAAATCAGTAGCCTAAAATTTGGGGCTTTTTTATGCTTATGGCTCCGAAAAATACTGACAGGACTTCTAAATGATATTACTGACGATTACAAAAACAGAAAATACGGTTAAGTTATAAAAAAATCGAATTTTATGAAATTATTCTTTTCATTTACATGTAATACATGTAGCTGTTGTTGTCAATTTTACAGATGTACAAAGCAGACAACAGAATCAAAGATATATAAATAGAACTGAAACAAGTAGTTTTAACAGAAATAAAAAAGAAACTTGTATTCGGTAAAGATTGTTGCTGAAAAGTGGAACTTTTTTTAACAAGGAACAGATTTCATGTATTCTTAAAGAATCACTCTGATTCAAACAAACAAAATCTCTGAAACTGACATTATCAAGATGCTTGATATCTTGATTGACAACATATTTGTTATGTTTGGAGGACGTGTTTTTCAACAGACTGTCGGCATTCCAATGGGAACCAATTGTGCCCCTCTTCTTGCCGACTTGTTTCTTTATTATTATGAGGCTGACTTCATACAGGAACTTCTTAGGAAGAAATATAAGAAGTTAGCAATATACTTTAACTTTACTTTCCGCAATATAGATGATGTTCTCTCACTAAATAATTCAAAATTTGGTGACTATGTTGAACGCATCTATCCCATCAAACTAGAGATAAAGGATACAACAGATACAGTTAAGTCTGCCTCATATCTTGACTTACATCTAGAAATTGATAATGAGGGTCGGTTGAAAACAAAACTTTACAACAAAAGAGATGATTTCAGCTTCCCAATTGCGAACTTTCCATTTCTATGTAGCAACATTCCAGCAGCGCCTGCATACGGAGTATATATATCCCAATTGATACGATATTCCCGGGCTTGCTGCTCACAAGGAAGCTATTAAACCAAGAGTTCCAAATGGTGAAGTTGAAATCATCCCTTCGTAAATTTTACGGACGCCATCACGAGTTGGTTGACCGTTATGGAATAACCGTTTCACAGATGATATCGGATATGTTCCTTATGTCGTAATTACAATCAACTTCCTTTTTCACCACGAATGTGACCTACCGAATTAGATTATTAACCGGATTTGTAATAACATAAGCAACACGACGGGTGCCACATGTGGAGCAGAATCTGCTTACCCTTCCGGAGCACCTGAGATCACCCCCAGTTTTTGGTGGGGTTCGTGTTGTTTAGTCTTTAGTTTTTCTATGTTGTGTCATCTGTACTATTATTTGTCTGTTTGTCTTTTTATTTTTTAGCCATGGCGTTGTCGGTTTGTTTTCGATCTATGAGTTTGACTGTCCCTCTGGTATCTTTCACCCCTCTTTTATATAATTTCTTAATGAACGATTTGCAAAAGACGGGGGAAATTGAATAAAGCCAAAGCACTTCTGTGCAGAGCTTGCTGTTTTGACAATTACTGTATCATATCAAATGACGAAAATGTAAATGAAAATCCAACAAACAAATAAAATGATTCGTCTT